CATCCTCGTCGCCGCTCCTCATGTAGGGTTCGATGTCCCCCCGTAAGTTCTCCAGATCACCCGAAAGTATGACGCGAAATCCGCCGAAGTTGGATCGCCCGTTTCGAAGAGGGCTTGGCTTGGAAAAACTGAAAAACTTTCGTTCTAATGCGGGAAAATCATGGTGTCAAGGACTGGGAAAACCGGAATTCATCAGGGAATGAAAAATTTCCGGGGCAATCAGGAAGAAACCAGAAAATCTGTTCCAGGTACCGGGAATTTCTTCCTCTATAGCTTAAACATCAATTGCTCCTGATTCGCAAGTATTGACTTTTTAAATGGCGTTTATTGAATCTTCAAATCATCATAATAATACAGCAACTATCTCGACCAGATAATTTTAATATCAAGAACACTCTAGAAATTAAGAATTAAAATGCACGCCAAAAAATCGGCTGAAAGATGAAAACAATTCGATGTTCATATCCAGAACGCAGGAGAGTTGTATTGTTCTCCCCAAGAAAATCCTGGGGAAGTGGGAGAAACCTCGGTTTCTTTTTAGGAAATTAGTTCCTGAAAATCGGGAAAAAATCAGGGAATGAGCATGGCCAAGAATTCTAGACACGATGGGAAAAGTCATTTTTGGAGTCCCATTTATCTCTCATCTCCTCCCTCCCTCGGCCACGAATTTTTTATTTCTTATTTTACATGGGCATGAATTTCGTTCATTTTGCAAACAGCCCAACTTCGAAGTTTATATCGCACCATCTAAAGACTGAAAAGTTTCATGCTTTTGACCGAGGGGTTCTTTTTGGGAACCGAACAACACTCGTCGGAAGCATTTTCTATTGGCTAAAGTTTGTTGAAGTACAGCCTAAATGTGGCGAATCCGCTCAAATTGTTTTCTGTGGCACGCGAGTTACCGATGAACGCTTAATCAGCGATCAGTATCAGCCTTCAATTACGCATGATGCAATTTCACTTACTCTCGTAACGTGTTGCATATCTGGCATTATGCGGGCGTTTTCGGTTTTTTTCATCATAAGTTATCATGGACATACTTCTCACTCGTTTCTTCCCTGTCGGTGCTGCTTTACATTTTGTCGTGCTAAGGAAGAACAACGTATGAGCTGCGGACGTCGCGAAATTTCAGTTTATAAAATCTTAAATTTTGAGAAGAAGTATAAAAATATTTCCTCAAAATGTTCAGAAACTCAAGTATAAACTGGGAGAACAGTGCACTGTAAAAGTCAAGAATAATGATTTATTAATGTTCCAGAAATTATTTATCTTATCCGAAGAAATATGGCAACGCCCGAATGTTCATATAGCGATTTCACGTAATGTAGCAACATCGTTTGCAAGTGTGACCTCAGCGCCTCTGGGTTTTTTTTTTAAATTTTTTTTTTTAATGTTATGATAGCCCTAAGGTTGGTCACAATGTGATATTCATTAAATCTAATACCCTCCTTTGTTACTGCAAGCCAACAAAATGGACCCATTTTTCCTTAACTGCATTTTTTACCCAGATATGTCATTACAGAGCTACTTCAAAGCGACCTACACAAAATTATCGTTTCACCCCAACATCTCTCGGCAGATCACATAAAAGTCTTCCTCTACCAGATTCTCAGAGGTAAGGACCTGTTTTCAACTAGCCCTCTTCATTAATCTAGGAGTGGACCACAAGACAAGACACAAATTTAAGCAACAATATAATGCATGATGTCTCATTAAAATATCATGTAAAACTTGATTTGTGCAACAACAATCCTTGAAAGTACCTAATCCCTGACCAAGATATTAATATATTCTTTTGCATAAATTAGAAATCCTGGTTATAAAAGAAAACCATACTCAACGTGGGTTTAATCGCACACTAAACGTTACTGCAAGAGTCACTGCTGTATGGAAATATGGGAGCCTCAATCTAGAAACTTTGGCTCAGCGAATTTTTTACACTTTAAAAAATCCAGAGTCAATAGAAAGATAAAACAAATTTCACACTCTTAGATTTTTTATCTATTCCAACTTTTGAGTCGTTTGAAGTTTTTATTTTAAATAGTCGTTTATCGGCCATTTTCCAGTGTAAATTGTAATCTATAGTGCTTCGTTATTCTTTCATCTAATCGACTCTCTAATATTTTCAGGTCTCAAATATTTACATTCTGCACGGATATTACATAGAGATATTAAACCTGGCAATCTTCTGGTCAACAGTAATTGTGTTCTCAAGGTATGTCACCAACCAGGTACTGTATGTTTTCCTCTCAGTATTCAGTCAACAGAGGCTTCCAGTTAACGTGACACTTACTAACAAATTCAGTATGTGTTTTTTTAGCTTTCGTTTTAATTCTTAGTCAAAACATGAGAGGAAATATGCTATAATGTAAAATTCCAAGGCTCAATTTTTTTTAAAAAAACTGTTCCTTCTGTTCCAAAATTGATTAGATCTGGATTATTCTCTTGAAGTGATGGTCTTTAAAATGGGCCCTAAACAGGCAAATAAATACTCAGTGAACTATGGAATCCACTAACGCCATGGCTATTTTATTTCCAGATCTGTGATTTTGGATTAGCCAGAGTTGAAGAACCAGATAGTGAAAAAGCAATGACGCAAGAAGTAGTTACGCAGTATTATCGGGCGCCTGAAATTCTGATGGGTGCCAAACATTACACAGCGGCAGTTGACGTTTGGAGTGTCGGCTGTATATTCGGCGAATTACTGGGACGTCGGATTTTATTTCAAGCTCAAAACGCAGTCCAGCAGGTAATTTATTTTTCTTTTCTTAAATGTATTAGCTTACTTACAATTGTATTGTTGTTAGAAAGCTTCTTCAAAAAGGCTGGCATATATCTTTATCAGATGACTGCTCTTATTCTCTGAAATTGAAATTTTTAACTGATTGTGAGATGCAAGCAATAGTTTTTTCTTCATTTTTTCCCTTTAAAATTAATTTATTTATAATTAAGTAATTTACATTCTTAGCTGTTGATTATTTCATGAAGACTCATTTTAGAGTCGATGTTACCAGAAAAAAAAAATTGCGAAAATGGAAGTCACAAATTTCAGTGTGCTCTGAAAATGGAATCTAAGTTATCATCTTAAATTTGTGATATCAACTGTGTACTTATTGATTTGAAAAAGTTTCTTTTATAAAAACCAATCTCATTGTCTACATATTTTTATCAAGCTCATGCAAGCAGTAATTCATAGTTGAAGTTCAAACGTTTAGTTTAGAACTTTTTTTTTCATCAATCTTTTGCTAATATGTATTAGAATATTAAATCTGAAAAGCATTTATAAAAAAAAGAAACTTTAACTCCTCCTGTCTGTTTTTTTTTTTTTTTTTTAAAAAAACAAATGTCTTAATGTGTATGTCTTATTTGTCTCCTTGTTTTAATTTTTTCCTGTTTTGATTTGTTTTGCATTACAGTTAGAAATGATAACAGACCTCCTAGGAACACCTACCTTAATAGAAATGAAAAACGCTTGTAAAGAAGCGAGATCGCACATGTTAAGGCAAAGACCAAAGTCGAATAACTTGTCCAGGCTGTATTTACTCTCGACGCAAGCAACGTATGAAGCTGTGCATCTGCTGTGTCGTATGCTTGTATTTGACCCGGTAAGTGCTCTTCTGCTGCATATTTCAGACGCTTTATACAATCTTCAGGAGCAGCTAAACAGTTAGAATTCAAGCTAAAATATTAAAGAAACAAAAAACACATTGAACTAGATTTGAACAGATTGAAGTCAAGGAAAGTCTCAGAATTCAAAAGAAAAGTTAGGAAATTTAACCAGCAGCATTTAGTAGGAGTCAGCGGAAATGGAAGGAAAAAATGAAAGTGGAAATTTTGTTCGAAGGTCGGGAAAAGTCAGAGAATTCAAAAATTTTGAAGCCAGAGAAAATTAAAAAAGCCAGAGGAAAGTCATAGAATGAGAAAATGAACAAATTATGGAATCCCTGCATCTCTGTAATAGTAAAATTTTCTGTTAGAAACCCCCCCCCCCATGCTTGAGAGCATTAAGTATTTTACAAACCTTGTATTTCCTTCTATACTTATTTAGCAGTAGGACCGGAAAATGAGGTTTAAAAAAAAATAATAATTAGATACGCCTCTGTAAAACCTGTTTTTTTTTTTAAATTATAACCTGAAATTGTTTTTTGTTGTGCAGGAAAAACGAATTAGCGTTAGCAATGCGCTTGGCCATCCGTACTTGGATGAAGGTCGTCTACGTTACCATTCCTGCATGTGTAAATGCTGTTTCACTACCTCAAATGCTATTAGACAATTTACCTCCGATTTCGAACCAGTTGCACCTCATCCCTTTGATGATTTGTGGGAGAAGAAACTCACTTCGATACAGCAAGTCAAAGGTATGGATGTCTGAAATGTGTTTTACACTGTGAAGTATTTGCAGCCTTTATATCCTCACTTTGTTATGGTCAATGGTGTATTGATATTTCTGATGAATCAATTGATCCGCCATTTGAACCTATTGAAAAGGATTGATCATCGAAGTGTTAGCAAGAAACACCTCAATGATCGATTCTTTACCTTAGCTTCAAAGGACGAAACATCGAGAGGTGATGATTGACATTTCGCCTTGGTTTGCAATTAGAATAAAGTGAGAAGAAACTGTAAACTAGTAATCTTATACACCCAATTTCTTAAAATAAGGACAGAGAACTTCCAAATTCCTGTTCTTCTAGATAATCTGTATCATCTAACGCTACTCTTTAAAAATGAAATAGAAGCAGAGATTTTTAAACACTGCATCAAAGATACAAAGATTCCCATTTGTGCAGTTTCTCTGTTAATTTGTGTGTTATTGTATTAAGAGTTGCCAACAATTTTTATGTTAATATTTTTATAAAAAAAAGATACTGTTTCATTTGTGTTCCAATAAGATTAAGATTTTCATGTCAGTCATGAAAGCTTTGAGAAGAAAATAAATATCTGTTTGCCTTTACCTCCATTTTTACTTATTTGAATTGTTTCTTCTGTTACAGAGGAAATGCACAAATTTATTAGCGAGCAGCTGAACCCAAACAGAGTGCCTTTGTGCATCAACCCTAAGTCAGCAGCATTTATTAGTTTTGCTAGGTAAGAGGACCTGGCACTCACCTCTGGAACTGTGATACGTGTCTACACCGACCAGACTTCATTTTTTCTGGTTAATATTTACAATCCAATTTATTAGTCATGACTTATGGGGTTAAAGGAGGGTTGCTTGGCCTTGACCTAATTTCCTCACAGAGCTCGGTGAATTCAGCTTTTTGCCTTTTCTCATAACGCTTGATAAGCTGAATTGCTAGCCTAACGTTTAATGTAATCATCCTTAGTCAAATGGACCATAGTGGTGAAAAACTCAAAATCAGTATTTCAGTACTGTTGCATGGAGGAGTGTTTTCCAAGGGAAGCTACTAATCCTGAGAGCGGATATATAATCCAAGAAACGGCACATGAGCCAATAAATAATCATTCACAATTAGCAGCAATTAGAAGTTAGCAATGGCTCATTGCCAAGCCAAAGGGTTAAAATGCAATTTCATATCCTCCGCTGGCGCAAAATCAAACCAAACTCCTCATAATACATCCTTTGGGATACAAGAGTATTTTTTCCTGCAACTTTAATTTCCAAATAATTTTCCCAAAATGGCGTCGCCAAGGAAATGTACCCTCTCGCACTATGGTCCTTTTTTCCAGGGATGATTACGAATGAATCAATTAACCATGGATATGACACTTCTCACCCTTGTAAAATATCAGTTTGCATGCACTTGCACATGCAACCTAACTCCCATGTGTTATATGTAAACCTCCTTGCAGGAAGGAGAAAATACTTTGCCTCTCATATCTGTAATTATTTAGGCTCAAGTGCAGGGACTTTTTGTTTTATTTTTGTAAATGAGTTTAATTATGAAAGCAACATTTTACCCAAAATTTAGAGTTAATGAAAAGTATGAAAACAATAATGCTAAAAAACGTAGCCAAAATCAAAATAAGGTAACAAAACTGGGGCATTTTAGATAAATAAAGTACCTATTTTTAACCAAAACCAAAGATGAAATAAATGGAAAACTCCCCGAATGTTCCAAGACCTTTTTTTTTCTCATTTCAGCCTTGTAAATTCACTTAAATTTTTTTGTCCTGCATTTTTGATTGTTGATGTTCCATCCCATTATTTCCCAAGCTGCAAAATATGTTTTTTCACAGCTATTAGGATGATAACAATCAAGCTTAAATAACATAGCTCAATAATTCAAACACAACAAATTAAAAAAGTAAAAAAGAGGGATAACAAAGCTAAAATATCAAAATGCTAAAAAGGTAGGATGTTTTGAGCTGTCATAGGTTCATGTTCAGCTACAAAAAACAATGAAAATCAATGAAAAATTGAGTGGTGACCTGATCTCAATGATACAAATAATTTTTCATTAATTTTGGTTGATTTTGTCAAAACGTCTGATCTTTTTAGTGCTTCAATTATTGTGACGGCGTAGCACATGCATACATTATCTCAATGATGCACGTGGCGTGCCGAGAGCCTGCTCGGAGCGTTTTCAACTTCGGCCACTGGTTACAATTTGAACGCCTAGTTCCCTATCGCAAAGTTGTGCAATACCAACCTGGTAGGGAGCCGGCCATCGACTATAAATATAGGATCCATTTTTTATATCTTCATCATGTCGTGGTTAGATGATAACGTGCATGGAACGCAGCAAAAATTTCCAATATTCAAGCACAAAATTGTCTTTCCAGCATGAACAATAACATCCAATTTTGGCTTTTTGTTTTAAATTCAACTTTAATATTTTTGTAAATATTTAAGATTCACTACATGGAACGTAACCCATGCAGACATTTTCTTCTGACAGAAACGTAAGATACCTCAAAGGAGTAACGAACCTGTAATAGCATGTGTTCCTCAGGTGTGAATCGCATGCATGCTTGGTGCTGTTTTTTGCTATTTATGAAAATTATCACTCAGTTTCTTCCTCTTATAACCAAGCAATAGTGCTTTGAAGACCTTTCCTTGTTCAAATCATCGGAGTCTTAGTGTACAAAAATCTAAACTAGCTCTTTTGTCTGCACCCTTAATATTACACACCAAAATCATACGTTTCCATAGGATGCAGTAACTTGGCAAATAGAGCATCTCTATCGAAAAGTTATCAATTTTGTTCAACATTTGACGTTACTCTTCTGTTAGAAATGTCTGTAATTTTGTTGATTAATGCTTGAGAGGTTGTTAAAATTACTTTATCAGTTAATGACCTGATATAATAATCAGTCATTCAGTCATTATTAATCAGTCATCCCAAAGGATTGCTCTACTTACAGCAAGTCCCAGGATTACAAAACTTCATTTTCCTAATAAGTTAGTTGACTAATTTTTTTTCAATCCTTTTCCAGTTCAACCGTAGCCCGATCATATAAGCTAGCCCCTTCACCGCAGCAATGGGAGTGACATTGGCTCCAACCTAGGTTGCTGCTCTGATCAGAGTCCCTGATTGGACCGGCAATTTGCCGGTTGAGCACTCCGTTCATTTCGGTGAAATGAATCTTACCATTGTCCAGTTCCACGCCTCAGATGCTCGGAGTTCGAAAACCTCGCATCCAGAGCATCGTTTTCCACAGGTCTCCTTCGAACGTCTCTGCACTAGAGGTTCAAGGCTCAAGAGTAAACTAGGTCTCATTCTACATTCTCTAGCCGTCAAGTCGCGCCAAAATCTCCGGCTATCAACATTCTTCAAAGTATTGTTACCCCACTGTTTGTTTTTATAAAATTTTATTTTGTTATGTTTTTCATCTATGGTCCCCGTCCAGAAAAAGAAAAAATTCCTCGATCATGATTTCCATGGAAGTGTTTGCATGAAAAGTTTTGATTTTTTTTCCCATCAAATTCAAGCCCATCATCAAATCAATCGGACATATTTATGCTGAAAGGAACTATGTTGCATACAAAACTTATGCGCATAGCTTCTTTTAGCATAAGAACGTTCAGTTATGAGTGATTTAATCGATACACAGTAATAATTTTGGAGTATCTACCCAGCATTATTGTTTGATATCTAAATTTCTGTCTTCTCATTTTATTCGTAAAAAAGTAGGTGACGAGTAATTTATCTTTTTTGCATAATTCATAGTCCCTATTGACTTTTGTGACTGGTATCACGTTTTTTCAGCAATACGTCATCATATATAAATTTTTTTAGTATTATGTAGTCACTTACTGTCTTGAATGGTTTGTTTAAATAACACTTCAAGCGAATTTTTTCTTTTTTTGTATTCAAAGCAGTTCAGATTACTACATTTTATAAAATCAACTATCACCAATAATAATTTTATTCATAGAATGTCTAAATTACTAGAGGAATGTATCTTTCAAAGTTGAAATCTGCTCCGTGTACTTGGTGTGATACTGTGTATTACCTTTTAAAATTTTAAGATCTTTTGTATGTATACTAATTCTTCAGACATTGATGTTAAATGAATTACTCACTTTTGTTTTTAAATCTTTTTCCTCATTTTATTTAGGGCTCAGCATAATCGTTGCTCACGTAACTTTGTCCCTTTAAATGGAAAGGCAAGTATGCTGATTATAACTTGGGGTCTTAAGAAACTTCAATATATACCAGAAATTATTGTTTCTTTTTGCAAGAAACTTTATTTTAAAACGATGTAGTTAATTCTCTTTTTCAAACCTCTTCTCAGAAATTTCTACCCTTAGTCAAATATCAGTACAATTTTTTTTCTTTTTTGGGAACTAATGTCTTTGTGATGAGGTAAATTTAAGGCTTCCTTTCAGTGAAGCGTAGTTTTGATTCTTTTCTGTTGGAAGTCTTCGCAATTTTTGGTGATCTTTCACTGGTCACCCAGATTGCATGAGTGAGCTTCTATTGTTAGATGTGGAGTCATCCTTTGCTTAGCTTTGTGGACGACTTTTTTAATGAATGTGTTACCTTTTTCTCTCATTATGCTGCACCGCACTACACGGAAGTATATACATAAAAAAAAAGAAACTAAAGAAGTACAAAAAAAGACGAAATTCTCTGAAACAAGAAGAAAGGCTGGCACCTTGGTGACATATGATCGCTGAACTCTGGAACTACCCATCTTGGTTTGAAACACTGCAGCTTTCATGTCATATTCTACTTTTTTAACTGGGAAACTAATCATCCGAATGCCTCGAAAATGTCTGTGAGTTTTCTTTTCTGTTTGTAGAATACTCCGTGCAAATTGTAAACACTGAAAAGTGGCTTGTCTCTTTTTTTAAAGAAAGAACAGAATAGCCCAACTAATTTTGAGACTCTGGACAGAAGGTACAATGTACATGGTTGCTGAGTTTAGCCTTTGATATCCTTTACCTTTGCAAGACTTTCGACGGAAGTAGATTCCCAGAGGCGATTTCATTTCCATCTTCTGTGTAGAGCCCTTTAATTACGCAAAGTTTCACACATTCTGATACCGCAAGATGTAGTTCCCGTAAGCTCCATAGGTGTCTTTTTTCCTTTAGTTGAATTTTCTCAGACCGCATATATTAACCACCCACGAATGGAAGCGGAAGTCTAGCTTTTTTTAAATCTTTTGTTGCAATATTTAGATTTCGCATTACAACTGGTGTTCAATATTCTCTGCCAAACGAATTACTTAATTTTCCCTCAGCTCTTTTCCTTCTTCAGTTCTTTGTTTTTACGAACCTGTATAAGAGGAAACATAGCAAAATGACAAAATGTACTGCCATTTGATGTGTAGGTGTAAGATTTGCATTTATTTTGTATTCATTACTTGCAATCAGCTGTCTTGAAACCTAGCCAGGAGAATATTTTTAACTCCCCTCTTGAATTTTGATGGTTCTTTATCACACTAAAGCATAGAAAATCTGACAACTAATCCTAGATGTCTGTACAGTTTCAATGTGCTCTTTTTTCGTAACTCACAAAGCATTATTTAGAAGATAGAGGTTGTTTCAAGGTTGCATGCTGTTGATCTTGAAACTTTGCATTGGTAATTCATCGACCCAATCGAGGGAAATGCATCTGAGTAGTTTCCATCACACCGAAAGTCTTGCTTCATCTCCAATTTTTTTAACTTTTCCACAAAGCCTTGGTTATTGGATAACTAAACGAAATAGAATCTAAAAATATTTCACATGTCCAGCATCTCCACAGTTTTCAAGGTCAACAACTTTGCCTTGAAGCAATCTAAGGAGTTTATGTATAAAAGCTGTCAACACCATCATATTTGGAAAAATACACTAGCTACTAATCGTGTTTTTGTACCGAAGAATTATCACACCGCAGCTGAGTGAAACGGTTTTGAAAATTAAGAAAAAATTATTCTCCAGCAAAATTCACTATCTACACTTTGCCTTTCATAGAGAGCATACAGTCTCGACTTCAAACTGACATCAGTGACGTCTGCAAGCAGACAGCAACCGCATGCAAACTAAGGACTAAAACATTTTTTGAGCAGGGCTCGAAGGTTTTTAAGCTATTCTCAAAAGCTTACGGTTTTTACATGTGATTTTCCTTTAAGGAACAAATACGTAACAGAATGTTAGTGGGCAACAAGAAACTTTGTCTCCTCATCATAAAATATGGTGGCCTTTACAGACTTCTATATTACAACTCCTTGCCTATTTTAATTAGTACTTCCTTTTTAGACTGTCTGTTGTGATATATTCTTTGTAAAACTCCTCTGGTAAACTTAAGAATGTATTTTACTCTTTTATCTGGTCAATTGCTCTTTGGGGCATTCTAGTAAAATAAACTTGGCGCTTAGAATTATATATCTGTTGATGCTTGGTTTTATTCGGGGGAATTAAACAATTATGAAGATCTTGGTTTGTCTTAGTGGATGCAGCAAAGCTACCAAATTTTATTCAAACTGCATGTAGACAATTTGTATCTGTCGGTTGTAAACAAATTTAATTTTTTAAGTTCTTACCTACCCACACGGCCAAGTTGGCGTTTCTCACAACTGTAAATAGTTCTGTAAATTTTTTTGATCCAATATTTTTAAGTTCCTTAATTTTTGCATTTTTTTTCAATTCGATAAATATCTATTCTTATCTGATTATTTCTCAGTCGATCCTGATTTTATTTTCTGCCGGGAAGACTCAAAAGTTGTCCGTCAATTTAATGATTTATGTCGAGCTTACGCCAATAAAAAGCCACAAAGAAGCAACGATCTTTAACAAAAAAAAAGTTTATAAAAGTAGGTAATTACTTTTGAGTGCTTCTTATGGTGTTTCAATGTTTTATCTTTCGTCAATTTTTCAATTTATTTTATTTTATTTTTGTATGATGTGCAATGCGCTCAGGAGGATGGTATTTATCACCTTTGTGTTTCGTTGCTATTTGAATTAGATGCAGTTCCACCATTGTGTTGAGAGGTCTCTTCTGAGTTGGTTCAAAATTTTCGCTGTCAGGACATCATTTCTCACCTTTTTTATAAAGGAGGCAGTGCAAAACTTTAAAAAAAAAATTCTCTGGAGTAACCAAACAGCACTGAAAATCACAATTCCATTTTTGTAGGGAAATTAACTGCCTCCCAGCCTCCTAAGTTACTCCCTGAAAGTTGTGACAAAAAAATGATTTTACATGACAAGAGGGAATAATTTTTAAAATTTATCAGTGAAGTAATTTTTTTTTATGGAATTACTTGATTTTGTTCATTATTACTTTCAGTAATGAGCCTCTGAGTCTCCTGTGAATTTTCTGTTTTTAGACATTCGCAGAGATTTCTTAAAAATTTAATAGATAACCATCTGATTTTTTCGTTTTATTTTCTACCCCCATGTCTAGATTTAAACTCGTTGCTCAGCTTTAATTTTGATATGATTGAATGAACAAATGATATTATCGATTGTTCTGATTTAGATGTAGTAACTTGTGATTTTTATCGTAGCCTTCATGTGACAGTTATAGATGTTGACCAGATGCTTCCTGTAATTAAGGTTCTGCACGATGGTGTGTTGTATATTGTATCATTTTGTAAAACCTTTTCATCGTTAGACTGAACTCAGTTAGAAAATTTCTCATCGTCAAATTTGTTAAAATGCAAGTTGAATCCTGGAAGCTGTTGTCTTCTCAAAAATTTAGTTGTCTCTTTATAATTTCACAAATTTTTCAAATGGGATCATACAAGCCTTGGAAATGCCAATAGTAAATAACTTTCGCTCAAACATGATTGGTCTAATCCAATGTTCACACTCAGACACACACATTGTGCACTCACCCTACCCCATCTGTTCCAGGTCCTTTGTTGTTCAAATATTTCTCACCTTTCAATTTTGTATTTCGCAGTCAGGCAAAAGTTTCGAACCAAATTGTTTCACAATAATAGGGAATAATATTTTTTCCTCGAAATTGTCGCCTTTTAGGCAATTTTTCACACTACAGTACTTTTTCTCTCTCTATAAGGACATCCACTAAAACAAAAATTTCTTGGTACGAAAAAATTATCTGGTCCCCTTGCCTATCTTTTTTTTGAGCTTCGCTCGTCAGAAGAGAAATTTCTCTACAACTGAAAATCTTCCGGTTTGTCGTTGATTTCATCCTAGAGAGAGAGAGTGCTGTATTATTTGTGTCGTAAATTGATCATTTGAAAGTCAGCTTTCGCTGACTTTCCTTTCGGATGAATTGTTAAAATACCAGGAGGACATAAAGCATGCATCTGTCTAGACAAAACGATAATTATATTTTTACACTGTCTCAGGATTCACCTTGCTTATTATCATGAATAGCCAGCCGTCTTTTAATTTGTCTACAATTTCCTCACCAGACGTTAATGGTCCCTCATTGTATATTTTTATTCTGACGTTGGACGGAAATCCCTGATTTTTCACAGTTAATGATCTTCAAAAATTTTTGTGGGTGATATAAAGAATGGCTAATTGTTTCTTTTACCCTTTTTCAAGTTTCGTTGCGTCTAAGTAAGAGATGGAACTGGGACAGACTTTCCATGATAATTTTTCAAGAGTCTGTGCCCAGAAAGGTTCTCAATTTTAGTCACCAAGAAGAAAAATAATCTGTTGTGTTTCCAAACTAATGTAAGCTACAAGTTTCATTGATTTTAATGGACATTTAGTTTAATTTTTTCTTCTGTGGAATGCTCAACAAGTTTGAAATTCCTTTATTTCCCCACTCTGAGAGCCCACAGCTGAAGTCAGTATACCATTAATTCATTTTTGCAAAATGAAATTTCAAAAATTAATGTCACGAATGCTTTGCATCCCCTCACAAACTTCCTTCCGTTTGAAACGCCATCACATTACTCGTTACATGTATCAGCTCACTATTGTTTAGTGTCTATAATTTTTAACCTGAGTCTTTTATTTGTTACTAGCCTTAAGTGTTTCACTGGTATAATGTGATGTATTGAATTCTGTGAATTATTAGTTCGAAGGAACAAAACTTTGTATATTAATGTGTTCCGAGTTTAATTTTTCTCACTTTTTAATGTAATGTACTTCTGTTAGGGTTTTTTTTTCTTTTCTTGGTTTATGGAATGACCTCTTTGTGATATTTGATACTTATGTAGTAACTCAACGAATAGACCAAGACCGTCCACAAACAGTGGTGGTACTAGTCTAAAAACGACCATGCTCTTTACCTGCCCAATACTACCGCGCTCAGGAAAAATGCTATGTGAACATTTGAGAGTTGTCAAACCCCAGTAAAATGTTTTTTCATAAGGAAAGTTGTAAATATTTTCTCTTAAAATTTTCAGATAATTTTGATTTGATTGTGAATAAAATTATCTGAAAAATTGGAGGAGAAATACTCACATATTTCCCTGAACATTTGTATTTTATCAAAGAAAATTTGGCAACGTCTGAAGGCTCGTGTAGCCTTTTTTCTTAGTGCGGCAGAATAGCTGTACTGCATTACTTGTTTTTGAGCTTGAATTACTGGAGGAAAGGGAGAATTCATGCCTGATTCTCCTGATTTCTTGAAATTGACACATTGGAGCTTAAAGTTTTAAAGTCAATTGTCTCAGATAGTTGCAAAGAAAATCACACTAAAAATTATCAAAATCTGATTAATGCCGTATTCTCTCAGATTTTGTGGGTTTTTCTTTACCATGGGGGCATTATCACTTCATCTGCAACTATTAAGAAACTGTTTGATAGATAAACGGAATGTCAATATCAATCGGATATTCTCTTAATATCAAAGAATCCTTTCAAAATTTTCCTTTCTCCTCCAGGGATCGAACCTCAAATATAATGAAACTAAGTGTAATAATATTATCACTGCTGTTCAAAAGCTGCATTTTACTATCAATTCTCTGGTCTTTAATAATAGGCAGACTTGTCGTAATCCTTCAAAGTCTCCTGTTCAACAATCAGTTTAGAGTGAATAGAGAGAAGCTTTTGAGAGGCAGTACTCAGGAACGAACGTCCCGTTCCGTATAAGCAATAATTCAGGTGCATAGTTCTCTTATTCTGTTACTAATCTGTATTTGTGGCCTAATCTTACAGATGTAACACTAGGCTCGAAAAGTCTAACTTTGATGAGAAATCGTACTTCATTACTCTGACGTAACGTATCATAAACTCGTAACATAATTCCTATTCAGATAAATTCAGTAATTTTACTTTACAAGACTTCAATCAAAATGTGCTTTAGTGAAGTCGATTCTAATGAATAGTCATGGCAAAAGTGGTGAAAAATCTTTGGTACTGAAACCGATGTGTGGAAAAGATTTTTAGAACTGCTCTGATGAAAATGGAGGAAGATGAGTCCAATCTTGTGTTGTCTTAACTTAAACGAGGCTTTGTCAAAAGAGGCACTTCTTTCTGCCCGAGGCATGCACAATTTCAACATAGCTCTCAATCACCTCTACTGGTTTGAGTGTTTAACTTCAGTTCTCTCCAAAAACATTGCTGCTGAAAGAACTTTTGTAATTTTCAAATATTACAGTTAAACTCTCTTGGCAAAAAATCAACTGCCTAATTTAAAAAGAAGCTCTTCCACTTTGGAGTGAATCTATCGATTTGAAATCTTGCACTTTGTAATAAGAGAATTTGGATGCATTTACACCCAAGAAGTTTTTCTTTGCAGAAAATTTGTATTAGATACACAGCTTCTGCGTAAATGTGCTCAATTCTTTTCACCGAGTGAACATTTTGAAACAGATGATTTTATTCCAAGCGTATCCCCATCATTAATACACATGTTTTTGCTTTTATTTACGTCAGTGCCAGTGCTTTAACGAGCCAATTAGCATGCCCCAAATCTGTGTAAAAATTGTCATGGTTCAACTCTTATCATCAAAGCTGAAGTTTCAGAAAATTCCGGAAGCTAAAAATGAAAGTCGGCCCAACAGACCTCAAATCGCCCCTCAAATCAATTGTTTTAAGTCTTGTCTTGTAGAATTAGGATTTTATTTCACTCTAGAGTATTGATTTCTTGTCGGTGATAATCTTAAACTGCTTAGTCGCTCTGGTCTAAGCACAATAAAGTTAATCAACGATCTCAAAGTGTAGACATCAATAATTGATCGACGCTCCTTAGTGACAGTTTGTCTGATTATCAATCCATGTAGATAAATTGTGTCTTTAGTGTAGCCAGATTAGCTGCCCTCATGCAATTTGTGTGTCATTTTGGTGCGTATTTTGGGTTTCGTGTAATCTAGATAGAGTAAATATTTCATTTTAAAGAAAATGTCTTAAGATTTTACGTTAATCTATGTTTTAGTCCTCAAAGAGTTGGACTACATTTTGCAATTAGGAACTACCATTAATGGCTCAGTTCAAGAACGATGTTTGAACTGTTAATTTTCCTATGAATATAAGTGTTTTTAAGGATAAACTAGAAATTGTAGTTCCCAATTGCACAATGTAGTCCAGTTCAAGTAGCACTAACTGGCAAGCACTCCTCTGCCGTGCTAAGGAAAAACGCCGTATGAGCATTCGAATGTTGTCAAATTTCTTTTTAGAAAATATTTCTATTTTAAGGAAGTTATGGATATTTTCTCTTGAAATTTTCAGACATTTCAGATTAAATTACAAATGAAACTATTGGAAAAATTGGAAGAAAAGTATTAACAAAATTTCTGAAAAATGTGTGATTTTTCAAAGGAATTTTAGCATCTGATGGCTTATACAGCGCTCTTCCTTAGTGCAGCAGTCTTCCCTTTAGTTTTACGTCTTCTTTTTCTTCTTTCCTCGATAAATTTTAAGTTTTACTTTAAAATCCTATTTATTTTTTTATCAATATCAAACAGTTTTTGTGTTTCCTATTTTAATTGATGATAATTTTGTTGTAATTAAAAACCCTTGAATGTAAATATTTGTAAATAGTTTGCCTTTTTTATAAAAAGAAAAACAAATAAATAAAAGGGAAAAAAAATTGAAAAACTGAAGAAAAGAAGGTATTATGTTCTAGTGCTGCTTATACTTCTCAATGTTAGCAAACATTTAAACAACATTGGTGTAATCTAATTTAATCAGTTTTATGTGATGTACATTTTTTTTTCAAAAGGAACAATTCTAAGTTGTATTTTAATGCCCAATGCAAACTTTAAAAACAGAAGAAATATGATGACTATCGAAGTAAATAAAAAATAAGTAAATGGTGCACAACTCACTCGCTCATTATTTCTATTCCCTTTCTCCTATTTTTTTTTTTTTTTTTTACAAAAAGTTACGTTTCCTGGAACAAAATTACATTGAAAAGTGTGGGTATGAAAAATAATGGAAACTTTGATTATTTTGGCAGTGTTTCTCAAAAGGGAATCATGTTACATCAGCTATTGCCTCATTTCAGTGAATAATGTATTTATTTCTTAAGTAAACAGTTAATCAGTGTAACCATTCTCTTGTAAAGAAATCAACTGCTTGGTAAAATTTGGCAACAGCTGATGTTACCTGGCATCCTTTCATGAAATACTGCCTAATTTGCGTTAACTAGAAACAATTTATTTGTATGGACAGTGCTTCCTGATCTTTTCTTTCACATCCAAGTGTATTTAGACGTACAATCATAATTCGGAAACTACATAAAACACATAGGCACAATTTCGTCTATAAGTGTGGTGATCAGCATAGTAAACAGAGCTCATTTTTCTATATGAGATTGTGTACAAGAGAAGAGGCTTCAAAATGAGAAAAAAGGAACTTTAAATTTAATGATTGTTCTCCCTATGATATAGAATGTCTCTTGAACCTTATGGCATACAAAATGCTAGAAAACGGTAACTCAGCAAGATTTATGGCGGTCTGTATGAATTTCAAGCTATAAAATTGTCTTGTTTCTTGCCAAAGGATAAAACTAAGGCTGGAATTTTGAAATATTGCAATGGAGATTTTGCACTTAGACTTTCCATATATTCTTGTTCATTTTAATCTCTTCTTTTAAGAAGAAACTCAGAACCTTGTACTATGGTTCAAAGTCTTCTGGGATACCTCTGACACCTACTGCAAAAGGTATCAAGCAATACATTTTTCTTTACTGCACTCTTTAATTATGATGCATGATATAATATTGATACAAGTGCGTCCAGTACAGGAGTAACTTGAGAATATTTCTGGAAAAGAGGTACAAAAGTAGTTCTGATTATTAAATACAAGGAGGAAAAAGACAGTTAAGTACTTGTTAACTGCTTGATTTAAGTATTTCCAATCTTTACTATAAAAATTCAGCAGTTGAGGGTTTCCCGGCATTGGTCATCCATTTTGTTTCGGATCAATATTTCAAATTGACTGTGAGTTTACGTCCAATTTGAATTAAATCCGCTCTACCCATGTATATTATAGCGAGCATAAGTAATTAGCGTGATCATGCTCATTTTTTTCAGATGATTCTCTATTTTTAAATACATGTCTGAAGGTTAAAATTAATAATTCAGTGTATCATTTGTCAGAGAAACTCTGCTGTATAGTGTACTCTAAAAAGTCAACTGAACTCTACTCCCAAGTGATATGAATTTTACGAATATTTCAGGCGGTTTAAGCTCATTTCAACGAAACTTTTTACCTCAAACTGGAACCCACGATTTATGGCCTAAAGACAAAATGACTGTTTGATAATGTTAGATTTCTAAAACTTTAACTGGTACCGTTAGTCATTAAGGGTACAGTGACTAATAAAGACCCAACGCGAATTCTTCAGTCCTATAAATTTTCATGGAGGAGGAGACTGGTTATAATCACAAACTTTTGAATGTTCGTCAAAAAACTGCTTTAAACGATCTTGGAAGTTTCATTAAGGTGATTTGTCAAGCTCAAGGGACCTCCTCGAACTAGCATATGTGATATATCGCATCGATTAGGTCAAAAATTTCAGGAGATTTTTAATTTTTTTTTTTTTAAAAAAAAGGTATAAGAGCCCCTGCGCATGAGCCTAAAGAATTATTCTAATTTCAAAAATCGGCAAAATTCAGAGAAATGAATGCAGAATAGTGTATGGAAAAAATCTAACATTCGATACAGAGATCAATAGCTGAGTCGAATGCGAGGTTTTTTCCAAACACTCTTCTGCTTTCATTTCTCTGAATTTTGCCAATTTTTGGGTTTAAAATGATTCTTTAGGCTCTTACGCAGGAGTCATCGTCCTTTGCTTTACTAAAAATTCAAAATTTGCCGAGATTTTTGACCTAATCAATGCAATATATCGCATGTCAGTTCCAGTCAGTTCGACCACGTCACTTGAGCGTGACGAATCACCTTCAAAAAGAGCTTTTAAGTCGGTGGGGGAGGGGAGGAGCTCCAGTGTCTCGAACGTAATTTCCCGCCAAATCATCATGCAAGTTTGCAGGTTCGCCACCTATCGAAGGCAAACATACTCTTCCCACTGCCGATAATCATTCTTTATTTTCTACCTTTTTTTCTCCTATTTTTGAATGTACTTACTTAAATACCTATTTTAAATTATCATTCAGAAGAAACTTAGACACCGATTTTTCTATCGATTAACACTTTGAAATTTAATTGTACCACTATAAGGGATTTCTGCAGCTTGATGGGACAATGTTTGTATGGTGGTACCCTTGTCAAAGCTTGGTGAAAGCATGTCGCAATATGTTTTCGATTGTCGTAAACAAACAACGTAATGAAACTTTAGAAATGCGCGTTTTCCCAGTTTTTCGTCTTATCGCGATGAACTCCTCCTATTTGTTTTCTTAATTTGTTTCGAAGTTGTGAATTTAGCATTAACTATGGAATGCACGCAAGTAATTCCGGATTTACATCTGACCCAAGATATCTCGCAAGTCCTGAATGAGGAACATGTAAGCTCAAACTTTTCTACCTTTCCCTCACTAGTTCAACAGCACTAATTTTGCAGTACTTTAATTTCAAGGAGATGTTTTTATCAGTTCAGCAAACTCTAACGCACTCACATTCTCAAGAAGAGAATATAATGATCCTTCAGATGAAATTATTTACCATTAACGAGCTGTTAGGTTAAAATACATCAAATACGTCCGCTTCAAACTCTCGATCAGCACAAGCCCGTTAGAACTCTCGCATGTGTGTCAAGACGGAAATCAAATCTTTTTAACTGAGACATCCATCTATGATGCCATGTAAATGCATGTTGCCATTCGCTGAGTAGTGCTGATCCTGAGCCAATCACTGATAAAATTTTGTAAGTCTCAGTTTATGACAAGCAAACCTGACGTAAGCAACTGCATTACATTTTGATGATTCTCCAACCAATTGCATTTAATCATCACCAATTCAAAGAAACATCTGCAACATGACATGGAGACTTCCTCTCTCTCGCTCATATGGTGGTTAAGGTGATTAGGCACCGTTTCTGGCATGGTTGAACTGGCGTGTGATTTATTGCATGATTTATTTGACCCCGTCAGAAACCTTTGCAGTTGCTAGCCTGTGTCAATTCTCTATATAATGGCACCCAGCTTGTTGTGTAGTAAGTATGTTGTCCTCGGTGCTTAAGTAGGACAAAGTGCAAAGTCTGACTAAATTTTTAGGTAAGTTTTTGGCATTTACTCGGATAATTTAATGTCAGAATGTAAAATCTTGCTTTTCCTATTCAGCAGACGGAATTGTGAGCCAACTAAATGCGGGACCCATGAGTCTTGGGCATGTATCTAGAGCCTTGTAGACAGGGCTCATGATTTAAAGACTGCCTTCCCAATCGTTGTTGCTGCTAATGTCACTGGGGCTTTATGTTTCCCATTCATTCTTATCTTATGGCCTGAGCACTAACGAGTCACCCCATCTTTCCCACCTTCACATCGTTTTGAGAAATACGTCAATTTTCTCTTTGAAAACTGGTGAACGTAATTTCTTGAAAACACTGTTGATTTTTTTCTCTGTTAGTAGAATAATCCATGTAAATTATTTCAAACCACAAAGTTGGCTTTTTCCTTTCCAAAAAGAGGAAACAAGAGCTGAAATTTTATAACACTGCAATGAAGATAATAGGTTTCGTATCTTGACCATCGATATCTCTTCAAAGAATAACTATGGTTGGGTAAGCGTTTTCCCTCCACGAAGAGAAATTTAAGTTCCACGTTTAATTTGCAGAATGGACGGCAAGAATACAAACTCTTTAAACTAATCTGTCATAATTTTTCCAATAGGTTGCACGCATCTTAATTGCAAAAACGGCTCAATGTGAAGGAGCAGAGTACTTTTTGAAAAACGGTCAGAACGTAATCGGTAGATGCTCTCTCTCAGCGGATGTCTGCATCCAAGATGTGGTGAGTGTCAAACATTTAGTTTTCAAGTTGTAAGTGGATGTATCAAGGTTTTCTCAGGTTCTTAAAGATTGCATTATTATTCAGCATCAGTAGCGAGTGGTGAAATCTTGTTTCTCACTTGCACCAATCCCTGGCTGACCTTTGAAATCACAGGTGCGACAAAATCGCAATCGATAGCATTTCAAGCCACGTCCGTCATTTCGGATTTTCGAATTCGGAAAATGTGACTTAAAATGCGTGATACCCAAAATCGAAGCTCAGATTCGGATTCCTCGTTAAAAATCGATGCAATTTCATGTACCATACCCGATCATAGGGTAAAGGAAAAAGACGTAACTAGACATACTGGTTCGAGCATATGAATCCAACGAGACAACATGGGTAGTGCTCAGTGGGTCAGCAGAGGAGGAAGAATAAGAATTTATCGTGAGGAATTCCTCGAGACGAAACCGAACGCTTATTAAGCGCCGGCGCCTCCCTGTTCGGTTGCATCTCGGGCGACCGGCGCGGCGCGGCAGCGTAGTTCATAGGGGCAGTATGACAGAATCTATACGCGTCATTAAACCTCTTTCCTTCACGCTATTCTAACATATGATGCATGAAATCATATCAATTTTTTGCGAGGAATCCGAATCTGAGCTTAGATTTTGGATATTACGCGTTTTAATCTATTTAAAATCGTAGAATAAATTACAGAATTGTCCTTGAAAATTGATCACACATTAGGTAGTGTTTTTATGCGTCATTAAACCTCTTTCCTTCACGGTATTCTAACATATGCATGAAATCGCATCAGTTTTTCACGAGAAATCCGAATCTGAGCTTAGATTTGGGATATTACGCGTTTTAATCTATTTAAAATCGTAGAATAAATTACAGAATTGTCCTTGAAAATTGATCACACATCAGTGTTTTTTTACCCCGTTTTTCTTCTGCGTTCACATAATGAAATTAGACCAACACTTGACTCATCGACTAGCCTAGCCTAATCCCCCAGAATCGGTCTAAAGGGCGAACAATTTTATCAGATAAGATGTGCGGTCCTAGTTTCCGGGCAATTGCGATTTGATGGAAGCTGTGATGAGGAGAAACGGATGATATGCGAAACTCGGGCAGATATTAAGTGAAAAACCAGGAAGGGGAAAGGCTTTTTTCCCGAAAAGTTTGTGCTCGGGCCAGCTTATGTGGTCACTGGAGCATTGTATAGCAGGTTGTGGGAAACTATTTTTTTGCAGCAACAACCAACCGGATTGCATTTTGCAAAAAGGAACTAAGACCATTTCAATGTTGCTGGGATTGTGCAACTTAGGTCCATTCTCTGCAAAAAGTAAACTTTACGACGGTAATTTTCGTCTTGATCGAGAAAAAATGCTCAGGTGATAAGGAATTCATGCTCCAGTCTATCGCCCAAACGGATTCTAGAGTGTACAACTCACTCTGGGATTCACAAATAATTTCACAAATAATTTTGATCAATTGCGTTGCAGTGACGGATGTAAATTATTTTTTACCTTTTAAGGCTTTATTACAGATGTAGATCATTTTAATTATTTTTGTTCCATATTTTTGTAGACTATATCAAGGAAACATGCTGTCATAATTTGTCACGGAAAGAAGTCGTTTCATGTCTATGATGCCGGAAGTGCCAACGGAACATTTCTTGAAAGCAGAGGCTCCAAAGTAAGTAGCCGTCGTAAGTTGAAATTTTCAGAAACCGTAGCCTAGTTAAATGGGCCCCTAGACAAGGTATGAATTGAAGCACAAGAATAACAAATCACACAACGGGAAGTCTGAAAATAAACTCCTGAAAAAGATATAAGTGTTTTCTATTAACATTGGTTAAATAGCAAAAATACAAGTGACGTCATTTGTACAGTCAAATTTCCATTTGATCTGTGTTCAAAACACTTGTTAACATCTTCTTCAGGGGTTGATTTCAAAACTTCCTGTGCTGTGAATCGTTTTCTACGTAAGATTTTGAAGAGAAAACAAGTGGTTTCCTTCTACTTCAGACCTTGTCTAGTGGCCCATCGTCATCACAAGTATTTTGCTAAGTACAATTATGGTAACTTTATCTCAGGAATGTGAAAAAATCTGCCAATGCAACTGTCTGAGTTGAACACCTTCTCCCTCAGTCTTGCTTTGATAGTCATTAGAGCTTAAATTTTTTACTCCAGTTGAAATGTTTTGAATATTTAGCCTTGATTTCCTTGCGAAATAGTATGGGCCCGGTAATATTCTGCTACCTTGTTACATACAGTTCAGGCCACATTTTTAGTGTTTTTTTCTTCCCTCTGTAATGAGGTTGCTCGCAGCCAAGGTTTTACCAATTCTGTGCTGTGTAGGCCTGATCAGAGCTCAGGAAAAAGAAACCTCTTCCTTCAAAGAATAATTTTTTATGCCTATAAAATGTATTTTATGTCTTTAAAAGTCCATGTAAAGGTCCGAAAGTCTTTAATTTTGCTAATTCTAACTCCTTGGAAATTCCTTGTAAGTCCTTGATTTTGGCTCTCAAAATTTGTCATAAATCCTGATTTAACACGTTGAAAGCTGCACCATACATTTATATTTTTTTCTTAAAGAAATGATATTTTCAATGCGAGAGTACTACTTAACTGATGACAGAAATCCATGATAAGGAAGGTCCCCCACATTATTAAAGTTTATAGTAAAAGAAGCAGCTAAGCCACATATATGTTGTTCAATATGTGCAAGCTTTAAATCATTTTTGTTTCAATATGTTCTTGCTTAATTTTAAATTCTAAATTTACCATCAAAATAATTATTGAAATTTTGATCTATTTTTTTTTACTTTTTCAGTGCAAGCTGGTGCCCCAAGTTCGTTACAATCTGTGCTGTGGTGACACGTTAACGTTTGGTACCATTGTAGCAACATTCACGAAGGTATGTTGCAAACCTGCATGTCTTACTGGGGGGTTCTGCCCCCTGGCCGCTACCTGCGGGGCGCTGCGTGTCTTCAAAGACCGCTCCAGCAAAATTGTCCAAACCGCCCGTTGGCGGTTAATGAGCAAATAATTTGTATTGAATAACAAAACGATGTTTCAAAGAAAAATTTCAGGCCAAACAATATTCTTCATGACTTTCTTCTTACTCTGAATTTGTATTCCTTTTTTGAAAGTGGACAGCTATATGTGGTCCTGTCATGACAGGACCACATATAGCTGTCCATGACTAAACAAAGGTCTCTGAGAGTAAGGACCCACTCTAATAAAACTCTGACCGTCTTACTCCCCTTCCTCTGTCCGTCGGTCGAGCGTTTTAAAAATGATTTTGTTTGAATAGAAAGGATTTTAAGGATGAATCTCATGTTTAAGTAACATCTGAGTTTTACATCCAATCCATCAATCTTTGTTAGTTAATCAACCTGCTGAACTATCAGTCAATCCAAATCGTCCGTTGATTGACCAGTTGAATAGTTGGTTAATTGATCAGTGGAATCGTCTGTTCATCCACCAGTTGAATCGTCCGATAATCCGTCAGTCAATTTGTCTGACCACCAACCGCTTTATTAATTTGTGAATCAACCAGTCAAATCATCTGCTCATCAAGTAGTCGATTGGTCTATCGATCGGCCGGTCGAACTGTCTATGATTAGTTGATTAGCCTATTGATAGACCAGCTATCATCAGTCATCTGACCAGTCAAATCTCTTATTCATCAACCATTCGATTTGCTGATAGTTCAGCAGATTTGATCTACAGAAAATTTGATTGATTGATTGACAAATCAACTGATCGAACAACATAAAAATCAACTGGTAGATGAACTGGCAGTTCGACTGGTCGATCACTGAATTAATCAACTGATCAGGAAAGAGAAAATCTCTTAAGGAAACTGAAAATGTTTCAAACATTATATGAAGCACATTACATATACATACCGATCTGAGACTATGAAGATTTAAGTCAGTGTTTTGGCGTTTATCAAATGTGTTTTGCCAGGTCAATATATTGCAAACCACTTTCACAACGGAAAAAAATGGAATCCAAGTATGTCAAGAAAACTTCATACCAGACTTGATCAAATATGGAATTAAAATTATAAATCATTTTTTGATAGGTCAAAGGCTTTTATTGAGCTGTTAGTGTCAAAAAATATACAGTATATTTCCATTCTGGTCGATCAGTAGCAGCCCTGTTCTTCTACACCCCTACTCAAAAATCAGATGACCGTCTCTTCACTCGTTTTTTTTCTTGTTTCAGGACCTTAAAGACCCTGTGGTAATCGAGGATAGTGATTCAGACACTGGCTCTGAGTCTATGCTACCTTTAGATGGAGATGGTGAGTACAAGAATTTTCATCCATTGACATCACACAGTTAAAATAATTAGATTTATATGATCTATAAAAACATTTAGCCCATCAATAAAAATTGTGTTTTCAGAAGGAATAATCAGAACATCCAAAACAACAGAAAAAGGAATGACAAAACATATCTTGACAACTATTTTTATAATTAAACTGATTTTATTGCCAGCATGGTACTTATATTCTTTTGGCTTTTAGCTCTCAAAAATTAACATTCATTTTACAATTAAATGGGTATAATTTTAAGACATGGTATTATCCATAATGCTATCAATTTTATCAATTATTCATCTTATAAATTATCTATTTGTCTGTTTTCATTTGTCTCGTCACACTCACTCCGTAAAGAAAACAGAAATGAACCAAGAATGTACCGATTCATGTGGCCTATTTCTTCAGTCTTTCCCACTACACAGTCATTGCTTGATATTAGATTTAATGTGTGGACATTAGCAAGTGAGTTTTTCATTACAAGCAATCTATGTATTTAATATCCTAAGGATTTTTTTGTCCTCCTTCAGTCTTGAAAACTACTCAACCGATTTTCCTTGGGTTCGTTTTAAATGAAAGCTCTTGACTTGTAGATGTGCCAGTACTCCTTGGTTTTTCGATTTGCGCAACCGATGTTGCAAAAACCTCGATTTGATAACGTCATATTTGCGTCTTTGCCGCTGGACAGTTTGTGCTACTTCGATCTCGGAAACTACTGGACCGATTTACTTCGGATTTGTTTTAAATGAAAGCTTTGAGGCTCCACATGCCTCAACACCCCTAGGTTTTTCGATTTTCATGACCAACGTTTCAAAATGTCTTACAACTCAGTGTAACTTATTTTCAGCTGTATGGCTGTAAAATTTGGCTTGCTTTGCGAGCCAACAGTCACTCGCGGAGCGAGTGATTGGGGGTCCAGAGGGCGAAGCCCCTGGTCAAGCGAGCGTAACGAGCTGAAGCAGCTAGTAAATCCTTAACATTGTAGGTTGTTTAGCAATTTGAAAAAAATCGGAACAAATGGAAGAAATTGGGAAAAGGTTAAAAAGAAGATTTGATAGCACTTCGAAAAATAAATTCGTTTTGTAGAAGACCAAAAAAGCTGGCCACCCAATGCGAAAACAACAAAAATGTCTTAAAAAAAAATAAAAGAAATAAAAAAAAAAAAAAATAAATAAATATTATCTCCCTTTCATGAAAAAGTAAATTAAAAATTTTTTCATTTACTCATTTTATGTGTGTTTGATTTTACGCTTTTGACTTACTTTACAATTTTTCTCGTTTTCCTCAGTTTTAACACTCTCTGTTTGTCACCTCGTCTTTTTCCGGGTTCTCTCGGTTGTGTTGTTATTGACCATCAAACGTCAACCTTTTCAGCACCATCAAAGCTTTTACATTTGAGAATAAGATGGATAAATAAATTTTTTGTCCTGTAAAGTGCCCCCTTTTGGAAAATTATATGTTTTCAAAAAAGGGATAGATTGAGATAATCAAGAGTATTTTGCTGTTAAAGAGTCAATTTTGAAAAAAAAAAAAAAAAAAAATCCCAAGTTGGATACCTATTTTCAAGAAACAAGACACTAAAAACGTTCATCGACCCAAAAATCAGGCAAGAGTCATTCAAAAGTATGTTTTTAGAGCATCATCTTAGAGTGCCTCAGATAAAACATTTCGTCGCGCCTCTGGCATAGGGGCGCGTCTTTATTTCCACATGATCTCTGAAAAGCATAGAATTACCCAAAAAATGAACGTATTTATGCTGAAAGGAACTATGTCTCACGCAAACCCTATGCACATAGTTCCTTTTAGCATAAATACATCCAAATGGCTCATGTGGAAATTAAGATATGCCTTAAGTCAGAGGAGGGATGGTTTGAAAAACTTTTAAATTCTTGGGATCTCCAAATCCAAACATATCGCCAGTGTTCCTGGAAAAGTAGGAGAGAGTGGGTTGGATGACATCTCTCACTCTTTTCCGCACAAATATTATTATTTGAAAATTATTTAAATGAAAGCCAGTGTCGAAGGCCAACTTTGTCTCCGATTAAAGTGGATTTTTAGATTAATTAAATATGTAATTTCATTCTTTAGTACTAAAATTGTTGGAATGTCCTGCTTTAATTTCAGACGATCCGGATGACAGTATTTCTGGACCAGTGAATCAAAATAAAAAGAGGATGATGATCTTGAGCGACACTGAGGTAAGACTCTTTTCCCTTCCATTTTAAGAAAAAGGAAAACATTATACTTCGTACTTGTTCCTAGCATTAGTGTCAGATAAGTCGGCAGATACTAACTTTCTATTTCTCAGAGATTGCCCTGATGTTGTTCAATAGGAAAAAGAGCAACAACGTTGCCATGTGCAGTTTTGTAAAACAACAAATTCTCTGTGACAGGCAAAAACAAACAACTGCCAACTTATCTAACATAAGTTCTAGATCTCTTGATTTCCATTTATTTAAATGTGGTTTTCAATAGAAACAATCAAATTACCAACAACGGACAACTGAAGTTGTTCCACGAAACATCCAAATTTATCAGGGAAATTGTAGCAAAAAGTAATATTAGAGAAACAGGCTACAAAGCTAGAGAAAAAATAGCAAAGTAAGTAAAAAAATACTTCTCGGAAAGATAGCAATAAACAATTTCTTGAAGAAGAGATCAACGATTTTAATATTCTTTAAATATTTCATGTTGCTTATATTGGTTTTTATTAAATATTTTTGACTGACCTCGGGGAAAGAGGTGAGTAAAAGCCAATAAAAGGGCCACAAAAAGAGGCCCTGCAAAGGCCAATTTACGGAAGAGCAATTTTTGCAAGTGGGACGAAAAATCAGAATTTGAATGTTGGTTGTAAATGATCTCTAGTATCTGAAAGAACAAGTCTTCACAAGGAGTTTAGTTGATTTTTCTGCTAATTGAGGTACTAAAGTTTTATTCAAATGGGAGGGACCGTGAGCTTGAAACACACCTGATTTGCTTTAAATCTGACTTTCTTTAAATTACATTTTTCAAACTGAAAATGGTGAATCTCAGTTTGATTTTACATTTTTTTGGAATTATTTGGGCCTAAAAATTTAGGAGCTGCATCTTGTAGGAGTGGTGTAAATATCTCATAGTGAAAATTTTTTTTCCTGGCATATTCGTCCCTTTTCCTTAGCGGTCATGTTTCTTTTATACCAATGACTGAATTTGCAGAGTGGACATTGGGCCGCCATGGAGATCCTCGGGACTCTGAAAAATGCTGACGACTCTGGGTGGGAGGGAGTAGTTGCCAACTTTTGGAAATTATCACTTGGGACACTCGCTGCCAACTTTGCCGCAATAGAGGTCTTAGTTGAAAAGATTATTTTAAATCTAATGCTCTAAATGGAGCTCTTGCATGCCACAGTAGGGTGGGCCGAATTTTTTTCTTTTCTTTTCTTGGAAATTCAAAAATACCTAGGGCTAGGCCCAGGGCTCAAAAGTTGTCAATAGGCACCGATAGAACGAGAAACAAATCCCAGGCCATAACACCCACATCTTCATCGTCAACCTGGGGGTTGAAGTTTTGAGGGCTGAATATTCGGTTTTTTCGAGCTTTTGCAAAATAAAATCGCTCTCTGCATCCACATTTGGGTCGAAACTTTTGCAAACTAAGGCATTTCTATGTTTTTTGAATTGAGAAATCGATTTTTGCAAGAAAATATTTATTACATTGAAATCCAATATTGATTTTTGCAATATTATGTGTAAAAACCGTCAATTTTTCAGTTTTTTCTAAGTCTGAGGTAACTTTTCATGAGAAATAATAGTAGTATTGAACTTATGACCCAAAAATCGATTCTTTGAGCTAAATTCTTTGTGGAAACAAGCCCCAAGCATTGGAGGTGCCAAAAGTTACGGTAGTGAAGATATAGTTTAGAAGTTATTGGAAGGAATTTCTGCAACAGCTTAGCTGAATTCAAGCAGTTTGTCATTTCGAGGATACTTACTATCAACACAGAGTCTTGTTAGGACTGAAATTACTTGAAGATTAAATTAGTTTCCAGAACTCACCATGAAGAGGTGGCTATTAATGGAGTTGTGCCTGTGTCTCCCTTCCTTAAAGGCAAGTTAAATTACAATGTACAATCACATAATTAGAATTATTTCACACCAATTGGGGATAATGTCATTGATGTAGCTTTTTCTAGCTAAACTTACACCATACTACTGCAAAGTCTACAAAGAGAAATGAACAGTGAAGATTCTATGACCTGCATAACTGATTCATCGTGCATAGCGTCATTTTTGGATGCTAGGTAATTCGAATTTTTAGAAGCTATCTTGTAAATTTAAATTAAATTTTTGATTGCAGGAGGATGAGAAAAGTAATTCCAGCCGAGACTCGTCATCAGAGATTCAGTCTAGCCAGCCTGAAAAGCCGGCGGACAAAGAAGTCAGTCCCTTCAAAACTCCAACTGCACCCCCGATCAGATCATCGCAGTTTCGATTCAGCCAAAGTCCACTATCCAGTAAGAGCACCCCCAAAACAAGCCTCAGTTCACCTGAAGAGAATAAGTTTAGGCCGTCTTCATTTTCAACCCAGGAGGAATTGGGGAAACAAACCGGAAATGATGTCCAGCCAATGGACCAAGATTCAGAAAACGATGTATCACAATCTTGCATCCTTGATGATTCCATCTTCGATAAAGAAACGCAGCAACTGGATACGAGCGTTTTCAGCGAAAGCCTTCGGAAACTATCCCCGATTAGCAGCAAGCTGTCTTCACTCAAAGGAAGTAGAAATTCTGGAAACCAAGCTTCAAACAGGGCTGATATCTTCAATCTTGAAACCCAGAAACCGGCCGAAAATCTGTATGAGATGGAAACGCAAGAACCGAGTTTCAATGATTCCTCTAGTTCAAAGTCTAAAAAAGATGTTTCTGGTCAAAGCATTTACAGTCTCGAGACGCAGAAACCTGAGACTGATATTTACAGCAGAGAGACGCAGAAAGTGAAAGATGATATTTGTAGCAAGGAGATAAAGGAAGTGGACTCAGATTTATGTAGTGCGGAAACACAGCAAGTGAAAGAGGAGGAGCACCAGAATGGAACTAATAAATCGTCTGAAAATATTTATGATAAAGAAACTCAGAGATTAAATGTAAGTATCTTTGATAAAAAAACGCACAAACCAGAAAGCGCTAGAAATCTATCAAATTTAGAAACTCAAACATTTGATGGATTTTATAACAAAGAAACCCAGAAGGTCAGTGAAAATATTTTCGATAAAGAAACTCAGCAAGTCAATGAAAATATTTGTGTTATCAAAACTCAGAGATTAAATGATGTTTTCAGTAAAGAAACTCAACAAGTGAACGAAAGTATTAGTGGTTTGAAAACTCGGCAATTGAATGATGTTTTCACCAAAGAAACCCAGCAAGTTGACAAGAATATTTGCGATCTAGAAACGCAGCAGGTGAATGCAAATATTTGTGATATAAAAACTCAGCAATTGAATGATGTTTTCAACAAAGACACTCAGCGAGTAAACGAAAATATTTGTGACATAAAAACCCAGCAATTGAATGATGTTTTCTCTAAAGAAATCCAGCAAGTCGACAAGAGTATTTGTGATTTAGAAACTCAGTCATTGAATGAAAATATATTCGACAGAGAAACTCAGCAAGGCACCAAAAATATTTTTGATTCAAAAGCTCAGCGAGTTAATAAAAATATATTCGACGTTGAAACCCAGAAGCCCAGTGATGATGTGAAAGGTATTTTTGATCTAGATACTCAAAAAACAGACATGAGTATCAGCAATATTGAAACACAAATCATTCCCGAGTCTCGCAAAAAGAAGAGTATCTTTGAAGAGGAAACCCAGGAGAAGGAAGCAGGTGATCTTGATGCTGGAACGCAGAAACCAGATGACTCAATACACTCCACTGAAACCAAAAAAATCATGTCACCATTAGTGGAGGTTTTAAGTAAACAAGCTGAAGAATCAGAAGAAAGCACCTGTGATATGATCACCCAAAAGTTGAATGTCCCGAACAATGAAGGAGTAAAAGATGAGGAAGATGAAGATGATGATATGACGCAAATCATATCGTCAACGCCAGCAGTCATAAACACAGCCAGAAAGAAATCTTTAGCAGCCTTGAATCGAAATTTAGCAAGAGACCATCTCGGCTCACCGATTGTAAGTGATTCTTCTCAGAAGTCTTTAAAAAGCAAACGTAGTAAAAGCCCTAATTCAAATAATCAGTCGTCAAACACAAGCTCTTTATACTCTATGGAATTGAACTCCGTCAATGGAGCAGAGGACATCGATCTTGAAGATTTAGGAAAAAAAGTTGACCCCAAAGTTGCGTCTATAGTTGGAAATTTGGATGGAAAATCCCCTGTAGAAGGTGAGGACATCAATGATGGCGATTTGAATGACATGTTAACTCAAAAACTACCTGTTTCAAGTAGCAAGCAAACCAGAAAAATCTCCAATGACTCCAAAAAAGGACGATTAGACCTCGATAACATGCCAACGCAAGTTATCAGTGAAAATCAGGAAGCCTCTACCAAAAAAACAAGAAGCCTGAAGAAAGCACCACATTCCACATCAGAACTGATGGAAATGTCTACACAACTGATCAATGATAGTAGTTCAAATAGTAAATGGAATTGTGGAGATCGGAGTAGATTAAAGCGCAAACCAGCAAGTGCTAAAGAAGACCGGGATGTGTGCGACATGCTGACCCAGATGGTGCCTGCTGAAAAAATGAGCATCTCAAAACAATCAAATTATAACAATTCAACAATGGATTTAGATGAGATGCTCACACAGAAAATAGATACCATCGACGGTGTAGAAACCATTCGGAAAACTGAAAAGTCTCGCCTGAAACAAACTGCCTCCACACCAAGAGTCTCCTCTAAAAGTTGTTTACAAAGCTCTTCTGTTGACAATCTAGACAATATGCTAACTCAAAAACTACCCTCAAAAGACGTCACATCTCATTCAGTTCTTTCGATGGACGTTTGTCAGAGTCAGCCGTTGGGTGTCTCTAAAAATTTGGATGTCATTTCAAGCGGCGATGAAACCGATGATGATATCGGTCAATTTGTCAAGCCACTAAGTAGCAAAAAACCAGAAGTAGAGCCTTCACTCTTTGATAAGGAGGTCGAAGCATTGTCTAAAAAAATGGAGCAACCGTGCAAAAATACTGCAAAAAGTACGTCTGTCCAAACTAGAACAGAATCCCCTGAAGTTCCAGAATCGCAGTCAATCATTACGGACGAAGAAATATCAGAGACTCCCTCGACAGGCTCAGATCCTGTTTTTTCGGACCAAGCAGCTTCATTTTTTAGAAACATTCCAGAGAAAAGCATGAATGATGCCTTGTCAACAGGGGAACCATTAGCCAAATTTCCAACTGTTGTGGAGAAAGACAGTGATTCCAAGTCATCGGGAACTGTGACTCCCGATGATCTCGCTTTTGTTCATGACCTCGTGGCCGCAGAAACAAAAACAGAGATGAAAGCAGAACTCGATCTCAATCTTCAAGCAGGTGATGAAAAAGCAGTTGTGAAAGAAGAACCCATTCTGAACTTTGTGACTGCAGATACAAAAGTAAATGTACAAACAGAGAAGAATGTAAAACTATCGGACAAACTAACTCCTGATAGTCAGGAATTCAATAGCAACTCGACTAAAAAGCTGAGGGGAACCAAAGCCACAGAATTGAAAGCTGAGGAGGGAATTGGTTCGGAAGAAACTGTAGCAGAGAAAGCTACGACCAGTAAGCCGCTATTGGAAGATGAAACAAATGTCTCAGCTGAAGATAATTCTCAGCCTAAGAAAGTAGGAAGAAGAAGCAAAAAGCCTGGCCTTTCCATTCCAGAAAATCAACCTTCGATAGAAAAATCTAATAACCAAGAAATCACTTCACTTACAACAGTTGATCCAACTGACATTGCCAGTGAACCAGCCTCTCCACCTCCTTCCACAAAGACTAGCTCCAGAAGAGGTTCCAAAAATGCGAGCTGTGCAAAAGCAGGAGATGGGAGCACAACTTCGGAGAAACAAGATGATTTGCCCTTAAGTAGGGTGCGCAGCAGTAGAACTAAAGTCACAGAAGGAAAGTACAAAGCCATGCTGAAAGGAGTACAAACATCCGAAGCTGAAGAAGAAAGCGGCAATCCTCGCTCAAGTAGAAGAAGCAAAAGAGGGGGACAAAATATTGTCATTAAAGCGGATGAAAATTCTAGAGATCCTGAGAAACTCTCGGAGATTCCTTTGGTGGACGCTTCCATGAAGTCTTCGCAGGGCAAAATCTCATCAAACGAGAAGCCAAAAGAGCAAGGCCGTGCCAAAGGTCCACTTAGCAAGCTTGAATCAAAATCGAGCTCTATTTACGATTTCAGTTCAGATGAAAATGATCCTTTTAGAGAATTATCATTGTTGCAGACTCAGAGACGTTCACGTCAAATTTCGGATAGCACAGATGATGAGTTAGAATCAAAGAAACCAAAAACTAAAAATATTGCTTCAGCCGTTTCTAAAGATTCCATTCCAGAGGATAATACAACTACAAAGGACATTAACGAGGCTGAAAAGAAGAAATCTACTCGTGGTAGACGTACTAAAATTTCACTGGATGTCACAGACGAAGCCCCCAAAAATGACATCAGCGTTGCAAAAGAGAAGGAATCAACCTGCGGGAAATCAAGGAAATCTCAAATTATTGATTCAGGTAGCGAGGAAGAAAATACTCGCTCTTCAAGGGCTGGCCGTAGTGCTGGTTTGAAACGTAAAGTTGAAGGAGACTCCCACAATGCTTCTCAAGATGCTACCCCCACTAAGAAAAAACTGTCTGAACTCGGAACATCTAAAAAAGAGCCTTGTAAGGACCCGCAAGCTGAAATAAAAACTAGGACACCATCGAAAAGGAAAGCCTTTGAAGTGAAAGGGAGTTTTCCACCAGCAAGTGATGTTTCTACACCAAAGAAAAAGTTAAAATTAAATGACAAGATTGAAAATGATTCTGAGGCTTCTTCTTCGGATGCTGAGCTCTCGAAAACGAAAACCTCTAGCACTAGGATGTCCAGGCGACAAACATTACAAGTTGAAAAAGTTGAGGACGTAAAAGAAGAATCTACCAGAGGCCGCAGAAGCACCAGAGGTGGAAAGCAGGCTTCGCAGAGTTTGGCAGGATCACAGACAACTAAATCAAAGGCTGAAACTTCTAGGAAAGATACTTCTGTGGGAAGAATGAGTCGTAAAGCTCCAGAAATTGGCCCAGAAGAAACGGCAGCACAAAGTGAAACGGGTCGCAAGTCAAAAGTGAAAGAAGTAGTGCGTCTCGCAACAAGATCCAGCAGTCAGTCAGACACAGATTCTGTCAAAAGCACAGCCAAAGAAAGTGTCAAGAAACCATTAGATAGGAAAAGTCGGGCTAGATTAACTAGTCAATCGAGCAGTCAGTCCGATTCTGACTCCTTAAAAAGTGACTCGAAGCTCGCCAAAAAACTAATCGACCGCAAAAGTCAGGTAGCAACGAAAAGAAATTCAGTAATTGATGCAAGTACATCGGAAACTGAAAATGCCAGTCCCTCAAAGACAACAACGCCGGCTAAATCCAGAGTTTCAAGATTGGCAAAGCAAGAAGACTCAGTTGTAAGTCCGCTTTTTTAAAATTTTGTATCATTTAATTTTTTTCTATAATCTTGTGATTTTTCAGCAAAATTAAGTAAACGGGAAGAGAACATTTCATTAGTATTGAATGATTCTTTTGGTTTCGTAAGTGTTTACAATAAACATCGAATAAATGGCAAAAATATTAATAACGCCAATTACATAATATAACTGCTATTTGGATTGCATTTTGCAAAAAGGAACCACTAGCATTGCAATGATGCTAAGTCTGTGCAACTTCATCCTTTGCAATAAAATTGCGGAAATTGTGAAAAACTATGAAATTTAGAAGGTAATTTTTGTCTTAAATTCACAGTTTTTAGCGAGTAAAATAGAAACTATTAATGGAAAATCGGGTTTTTCCTCCAAAGACAAAAGAAGTTGCACAATCTTAGCAACATTGCGATGCTAGTGGTTCCTTTTTGCAAAATGCAGTCCATTTGATCTGTGTAAAAAGTACCTGAACGTGATCGGGGGAAAAACAAAGGTAAAATTATCAGCTAAAAAATACTTGTTTAAATCTTGTTTATGAGTTGACTTCTGAATTTTCCGTCCTGTGAATCATCTTCTACGTAAGATTTTGATAAGAAAATATAGGATGTTTGGTAAGACTCAGACCTTGTTCAGGGGGCCATTCTGCATGAAGACGGATCATAATAAAAGCTTACTAGGAAAAAATTCATGTGATGCTTAGTATATGCTTGTTTCTTTAGGGGTCTTCAGTGGTTGGTGTTTCATTGTTCTGTTGTCAGAATTATACTAATTCCTGTGAGATTGACTCTCATCAATTCATATCATCTGAAGATCACTGTATTGCTCTTCAAATCAAAATTTAACCTTTGCCTTTTTTAATTGTGTCTCCAGAGTCCTAGATCATCAACCCGGAAAATATCTGCACCAATCAAGAAATACCACATTATGTTTACTGGATTGGACGAAAAAACCCTCGCCAAATTTGAGAACATCGTTACTGCACTTGGTAAGCTCTCCTCTGCAGAAAATTAATCTTATTTTCCAAGTTACAAGCACCAAAAGCAAATCAATTGATTGTCCTTGTACATTAATGACCAGTGTAACCTGGAGTCTGACAAGTTGTTTAAATGCCTTTTTATCCTGAAAAACCCATCAAACAATCATAGAAAAAAGACCAAGGCCGTAAGAAGGTGTTAATTGATCAGTTCATTGCAAAACATGGTAAAGTAAACTTATGAAACATGCAGCAGAGTATTTTCTGAAGTGTATTTCTCAAAAATGTTCTCGCTTAAACGGTTAAATTCAAACAACAAGCACCAAAATGTAAACAAATCCAATTCAATTATAAAAATTCCATAAAATTTAAGGTTTTTCTTAGTACATAACAGGTTGAGATGTAAGCCTTGCAGTGCTGCTAAGATTGATCAACTAGAAGCATTGTTTGTAACTTAGGCAAGAAAAAAAAACACTCAAAATATAACAAGGTGGTAAAATAGTGCTGGTTCCGCACTAGCAAGGCCAAGCAAGGCAATTTTTTTTTAATCGGATTATAAAATTTGAGCTCCAATGATTATCAGTGCCAGACAGAAAGAATGAGTATTTGGCTAAGGCCAATGCATTGGAATACTAAGCTGCAGTCACGCCTAGGAATTTATAACGATCTTTTTGCCCAAACGTTCGGAATTTTTTGACCTTGCTTTCCTCGCCAAATATTGTGGACCCTGCACTATTTTACAAACTTGTTATAACTTAGTATGTAATTCGAACATTTTCCAGTAATTTTGCTAAATTTTAATCAGAGTTTTTACAAATTTTCTCATGAATAGGATGCTGAAGCTTGTGAATTTGGTTTACCAATTCGAGGTTGCTCAGTAATACTGCCATGCTAGAAACAAAAGCTGTATCAGCCTTCAGACGTTGCCAAATTTCCTCTGTTACAATAAACATTTTCAGGCCAACCTCTGAACATTTTTCCCTCAAATTTTTTTAGAGAGTTTCATTTGCAATCAGATCTAACTCATCTGAAAATTTTGAGAAAATATTACATAATAACTTTCCTCAATAATTAACATTTTACCAGATGAAATTTGACAACTCTGGAATGTTCATATGACGTTTTTTCTTAGCTTGGCAGTGTTGCAAGATTTATATCTTCTTTTATCATATCTAGTTTAAAATATAAAGAAGAAATCACAAAAATTACTTACCCAAATCACCTGAGAAGATGAATTATCATTTTGCATTTTTAATTCATCAAAATAACTTACTTTCAATCTAGTTTGTATGAAACCAATCCTTGCAATTTCGATTTTTTCAGGAGGGGTGTTGGAAGAAAATCCTTCATTATGTACAGTCTTGGTAACAGACAAAGTCAGGCGCACGATAAAATTTCTGTCAACGCTGGCGCAAGGGAAACCTATTGTCTCTATCAAGTGGTTGGAGGTCTCGAATAAATTGAAGTCTTTCAAAGGTAAGAGTCACTGCGGAAACTTGTCAATATGAACCAAGCTTCGCAGCATTTAATTAAAGAAGTAAATTTTGTAACGTAAATGCTTGAACAGGGTGTCTAGCATCAGGATCTTACCGATTTTCCTGATTCTATCAGGATTTTCCCGATTTTTCCAATTCTATCAGGATTTGAGGTCAATCAGGATTTAATTCCGATTTTATCAGGATTTGAGGAAAAATCGGTCGTCCGCTTGGATTTTTTTATCGAGCTTTTTTTGTGAAATTACATTCGCCTCTTTTTCTCCGCAAAAAATCAGGATTTGGAAAAATTATGAAATCAGGATTTAGCATTCAAAAATCAGGAAAAATCAGGATTTCCCAGAATGAAAAAAAACTAAACACCCTGTTGAATGCAGGGTATATTTGTGGTTTATATATGTGGTGTATTCTTAAATTTTTGCAGGGAAAAGCCATTAAAACCTTAGATGGGTCAGTGGCTCCATTTGTTCAAATTTCATTTTTTTTAAGTATGGAGTGAACTATGCTTTTCATTCGTCGGATTTTGATTAGCTTTTTCTCTGCTGAGGAATTTTGTTTTTTTGAAACTTCTGAATGAACTTTTTTGGTTTCAAAATTGGTCAAATTGGTTTTTTGGTCACAAAATTTCTTGTACGAATAGCTACGCTATAACACCGCAAAAATTCCTTGCCATCGTCCCATTTCATCCTAATTAGAGTAGAGTTCAAGGTGCATCAAAATAGTGCTTGCCACCGTGAAGTCTAAAAATTGCCTAAAAGGTGGTCTGAACCATAGAAGACCATGGGTTTTTTTTTTTTTTTTTTTTTTTTTTTTTTTTGGGTTGTAAATTGCAAGTTTCTCAAATGTTTTATAATCTTGCCAAAATCTGAGAGTTAAATTAAATAATTGTTCATTCCTCTTTGAATTTTTCCCCACATCTCTGCCATTGAAGTCAATCTGAAACGAGTCTTGGTCCTGCATGTCTTTGTCTTAATTTGCTCTATGTTCCATGTTTGTAGATCCATTTGAATACTTGATTCAAGATAAACAGAGTGAACAGAATTTTGACTTCAATTTGTCAGAGTCCCTTACCAAAGCTCTGGACACACCTCTCCTAGCAGGATACTCCGTTTTTGTTACGCCATCAGTTAAACCCGAGCCATCTCAAATGAAAGGTGAGTAAAACAGAATAACTTTGCTAGTCTTTAATTGTGTTGAGCAATTCATGTAGCAAAAACATAGGGGGAAAAGCCTGTCAGTGTATTTGACAAAATATCTCTATGCGTGCGAGGTATCTGAAGTCAATTCTCTGAACCAGGCTAGGTTCCGTGCACACATGCCTCTTGACAGAAGCTGGTTGTCAGGGAAATTGGCTGAAGTAGGAGTTCAGATCCTCCTTCCTAGTGCCGTGACGCAGTATGAACACTCGAATGTTGACAAGTTTCCTCCTAAGAAAAGGTTATTTTGGAGAAAGTTCTGAATATTTTTCCATGAAATTCTGTAGATCGAATTGCAAATAAATTTCCCCGAAAAATCGGAAGAAAAATTTTCTCAAATGTTCCCAAAAAATCGTGATTAGTCAAAGGAAATTTGGCAACTGAAGGCTGGCAGTCTGAAGGCTCATTTCTTTTTTCCTTAGCATGGCAGTATAGATAGAGCTTTAATTGGAGGTATTTCTATCAAATGGAACTATGAGCATTATGACGTGAGCCCTGTTATGCGTGTATTCTTATGAGTCTCAGGGCTTATGTCTTAATGCACATAGCTCCGTTTGATAGAAATACATCCAATTATGAATACCTCTGAGCAGAGGTCATTAAGTAATAGCAGAAGCGCTGCGCAAAGGTACGGTTTTGCTGGACGCAGATGCTGTGGTAATGAAAGGGTCAATGACACCTAAAATTTCAAGATTGGGCTCTGATTCATACTCTGTGGAGTTCATACCGTGAAAAGTTTAACTTTTTGCGGTTGAAACTGACGAATTGCATATTTCAATATTATTTTTTTTTTTATCTCAAGTCATCAATTCATAAATTTTATTCAGTGCTATTTCTGTGTAATCTAATTTTTGTATTTATTTTTCAGCAATCATCGAAAGTGCAGGAGGCAAATTTCTCAGCAAACAGCCTGCTCTCTGGAGCGAAAATAGTTTCATTGTTTCAAGTTTGGAGGACAAAAGTCATTGGCCCAAAGACAAAGGCTCCAAATTCACTCCAAAAATTGTCTCTGCTGAAATTATCTTACGAGGGATCCTGCAGCAGCGACTAGACTTTGAAGCCCACAAATTGAAATAAGTTTGGTAGTTTGAAGTTCCTTTTTTGTTATTTGTTTTTGCTCTTGATGTAAACTTTGTAATGAAGTTTTTTTAAATTTTATGCTTATTCATGAAGAAAATTATAAAAAAATCACTGTTGTGAATATTTTTTACTTTTATTAGCCATTTTCACTTCACTTCCTTTGTTTTTTTCTCAATTTTATATATCTGATTTTTTGCTCATTATTCTGTGCGTAATGTATTTTCTTTTTAAAAATTGTAAATTTTCTATCACATGCTGTGACCCATGTGGGCATGTCCTTTTTACCTTTCTATTGTTCTATAGCGGAGTCCAGTTGACAGGAAAGATTGTATTGTCACCAAAATTACTTTGTTTAGAACCAAAGCAGCTTATTGGATTGAAAGTAATATTGTAGAATGGGTCAGTGGAATTCATTTTTTCAATCATTTTCTAAAAGTATGGAGTAAATTAAGCCCCTATAAATTTCTTCAGATTTTTTAAACTGTGAATGGCAAAGAAACTCCCTTTTAAACATGCCCAAAATGGGATGTGTTTGAAACAATATTTTTGGCGGGCTTTGACGACGTAACTATGTGGGAGAAATAGCATTAGCTGATTGGCTAAACTCAGCTTAAAGCATTGCCTGGCTCCATCAACTTGACTGTTGGCTTTTGATCGATCAGTCTTGGATCAGCTTTTTCTCTCGCTAGAAATGCTCATTTGAATTTTTTATAGAAAAGTATGAGTTTTCCCACACTAAATTTTATGCACGCATTTTTTTCCACAAAATTTTGCTTTACCACAATCCTGCAAAAATTCCTTGCCACTGCCTCATTTCATGTTAAAGGGAACATACTCACAAATCTATTTCGAGCAAAAAACTTGAAATTTTGTACCAAGAAGCATAAGTTTTAAGTGATTGTGTCCATTTTATATATTTTGTAAGTATGTATAATTGTAATGTGAATTTTTTATCCAGGAGGATAATTATTTTTTGCTTCCTCAGGAATTGTTTGTTTCTATTTGTTATTCTTTTGAAAATTATACCTCAAAATGTTAGTACTTTTTTGAAAATTACCGCAAGAATTTCTTATAATTTTGATAATCATCTCAACATATCTGTAAGTATGTAGCTCCAATTAAGTAATGCAGTGAAGATTAAGACAACAACAAAATTTTACTATATTGCGTTGAAAGGAGTACGGTAAAACGAACGGATTTATGTGAAATCAGCCTAATTGTGTTTCTCATTGCCTAATTTTCTCCGATGTTATTTTGTTTTAACAGAGAATTACACCATAAGACTCCTATAAATGTGTGTGAATTTATCCCACGTTATGAAGAATTTATACAAATTTAAGTTCCAGCTTTGTTTAGTTTTCTGTTGATAAAATAGAACATTAGAGAAAATCAGGCAATGTTCAATGTAGTTCAGCTGATCCATGCTGAATCCATCCAAATTAAGTTGTTGAAAAATCGAGTGTTCGAGAACAGGACACATTTTCAAATTTATCTTCGAACAAAAACATGTAATTTTGTACCAAGAAATGAATCCTGCAAAGTTATTGGGGCCATTTCATTTATGAGAAAAATGATTTGCCAGGGAAAAGTAGTCTCCTTCGATGAGTCTCTCTGTTTATTTTTTGCAAAAATGTGTTCATAAAAGTAGACTTAGGTAATACTTCATAACACATAATAACTAGATTTTAGTACTATTGTAAAAATCTTCTGTATCAACCAGTTTTAATTATATTCACAAATGTAAAAAGAAACTATAATTTGAAAAGTTCAATTGGATTGAGATTTGTACATTTTGTTTTTAAATTTGGAGGTGGAGAATTCACAGTCAAATAAAATCTTGTAAAATTGTATAGGATCAATCTTTTTTCTTTTTTTCTAATTGTGTTGAATCATTTTAATTTCAAAGTTAATCAGGGTTGTCACAGTTGGGGAATATCAGCAGGTATCAGTAGTTGTCATCAAAAAGTCAGAGAAAGCTTGAAAACATTAGGGAAAATGATGGATGTGTCCGGGAAAAATTGTTGAGTCACCTTGATTTGCTTTCTAGCATGGGTTTGACGTTTCGAATAATAAATCTTGCCCAAAAATTATTTCCAATTATGTCTTTATAACCATCTGCCATTTTTACTCTCAAGAGGGAAAACAGTGTGCAAGAGAAGAAGTTCCTTCAAGAAACTGGTCAACATAAAACTTAAATTCTCCATGATTTTTCGTATTCGATAGCAGAAGATTTGGTTCAAAATTTAAAGTCGTAAATTTGGATTGTTTCTCATGGAAGAGAAGAATTAGGAACGGAAATTTTGAAACGCCGCAATGGAGATACGTGGTTTCGCACTTCCGTCGGACCGATATGGACATCCAACAAGCTTTAATAATTGCATCGAGTCCCCGTCACCGCCGACCTACGCGATTGTCGATCGAATCAACGACAGGTATTATGCGTAGGAAGTCAAAACGCCTTCAAATTTTTGAACGCAATGCGGACATCCGTCGAGGTTGTATAGTTGTATCAAGGCGCCGTAGCAAGCGCGTCCCATTGTTTACCGTTACAGACAAATATAAGTTGAGAGAGGCCAGTCATTATGCCTTCAATTTGACTCAGACATATTTGTGGGCAAAATGAGAGACGACGTTTCTCCATTTGCGACGTTGCAGACTTCCTTAGAAATTTTATTTTTCCTTCGAGAAACTGGTCAACATAAAACTTAAATTCTCCATGATTTTTCGTATTCGATAGCAGAAGATTTGGTTCAAAATTTAAAGTCGTAAATTTGGATTGTTTCTCTTGGAAGAGAAGAATTAGGAACGGAAATTTTGAAACGCCGCAATGGAGATACGTCGTTTCGCACTTCGGTCGCACCGATACGGACATCCAACAAGCTTAGATAGTTGCATCGAGTCCCCGTCACCGCCGACCAACGCGATTGTCGATCGAATCAACGACAGGTATTATGCGTAGGAAGTCAAAACGCCTTCAAATTTTTGAACGCAAACCGGACATCCGTCGAGGATGTTTAGTTGTATCAAGGCGCCGTAGCAAGTGCGTCCCATTGTTTACCGTTACAGACGAATATAAGTTGAGAGAGGCCAGTCATTATGCCTTCAATTTGACTCATACATATTTGTGGGCAAAATGAGAGACGACGTTTCTCCATTTGCGGCGTTGCAGACTTCCTTAGAAATTTTATTTTTCCTTCGAGAAACTGGTCAACAGAAAACTTAAATGCTCCATGATTTTTCGTATTCGATAGCAAAATATTTGGTTCAAAATTTAAAATCGTAAATTTGGATTGTTTCTCATGGAAGAGAAGAATTAGGAACGGAAATTTTGAAACGCCGCAACGGAGATACGTGGTTTCGCACTTCGGTCGCACCGATACGGACATCCAACAAGCTTAGATAGTTGCATCGAGTCTCCGTCACCGCCGACCAACGCGATTGTCGATCGAATCAACGACAGGTATTATGCGTAGGAAGTCAAAACGCCTTCAAATTTTTGAACGCAATGCGGACATCCGTCGAGGTTGTATAGTTGTATCAAGGCCCCTAGTCTTCTTCTTTTTTAATATATAATTTGAAAAATAGAATGAAATTGTGAATTAACCTCTGCACTAATTGCGAGGGGCGTTGGTCCATTTGAAAGGTGTTGTACTCAATGCTTCGGGAAAATTATAAATTATTTTCTGGGGTTTGTCCCCGATTTTTAAATCCCTAAAAACTCATAAATTGGATGACGGGAAGTAGGGGTTTTTCCTTTTTTGTTTTTCGGAAAATTTTTGTTGCTACGCATCTTACTTTACTATTTGCTGTCTTTTTATCAGCTGTTTTCATTCAACAATCATCATTAAATGAGGTTACCACCAACACTCAACTGCCGTCGACCTACATTTTTCTTTTCCCGCGTTTTTTTACCGCTTTGTCATATCATCTTCCCGCGTTTTTTCTTTTCCAATTTTACCCCCCAAATCGTGATTGGCTCCATCTTTTTCCTATTTCCAATTTTTCCTCATCAAGTCAATAACCTCCAATTTTTCTTTCTCATAACATTCATGTGGAACAGTAAGATGAAGAAACTCGAAAAAAAGAAACTTTTGAAACAGAAAATACGGAAAACGTATAGAGGAAGGAACAAGAACAGGAAGAAGAAGAAGAAAAAGCGGAAGAATTGGATGAAGATAAAGAGGGAGCAGAAAAAGAGGGAGCAGAAAAAGAGGGAGCAGAAAAAGAGGGAGCAGAAAATGAAGAAGAAAAAGAAGAAAAAAAGAAGAAAAGAAAAAAGGAGAACGAAAAAGAGAAGAGTTGAAGGAAAAATTGGAAAAAAAGCGGAGCAGAAATCGAAAAAGAAGAAGCAACAATTAAAAGGAACTAAGTTTAATAACAAAGGTAAAAGCTTAAAAAGAAGTTTGTATGAAGGTTTAAAAAAAAAAAATTAATTTAAAGGTTACAAAATAAACCTATAATTTTTGAAAAAAATTGTTATATTTATTATTTCAAAGAAAATTAGGACCAATTCAAAGACAAATCAGAAAAGTAAATGAAAAAAAAAAAAAAAAAAAAAAAAAAAAAAAAAAAAAAAAAAAAAAAAAAAAAAAAAAAAAAAGGACATGTGAAAGGGAAAGGTGTACATGAAAAATAAGGGGCTGCGAAGCAGCCCCATAAGCCCCTAGTCTTGATTTATTTTGCGAGGAAAGCTCCATACTCTTAGAGATGCCTAGGTCCTTCTTGATACGTTGGAGCGCCTTCAGTTTCGTATGATACTGTGCAACACCTCTGTTGCGAAATAATTGCTTGAAGCGCCGCGGCGGGCACGCGCATTGGCACCTACAAACCTAACAGGGATACTTCACGCATTGCGCAATGCGTGAAGTATCCCTGTTAGGTTTGTAGGCGCCAATGCGCGTGTCGCGCTGGCAGCACGCCGCGCGCCGCTCCGCTCTGTGTTGGGCTGTAATATTTAAACTCGAGGGGTCAACGTTGTTCAACTCATGATTTCGAAATGTTTGCACACTCTGCATGGATTATTCTAATTTAAATTTATGAAAAAGAATTGTGTATTGAGGGAAAATTGAATGTGTGTCCTTGGTTTTTTTCTCTCGCATTCATTTTTGTATAGTTTCTTTCTTTCTTTTGGTAAAGGCAAGGGAGAAATCAGTACAAGTGATGATGAAGCATTTTTTTATTCATGTATGTATTTTTTCTTTTTTTTCTAGTTCAAATATTTTTGCAAGCTGAAGGAGAGTTTTCATTGATATGATCCTTCTTAATACTTTCTTCTAAGGTACAAAATGAAAGAAACAGAAAAAAAAAGGAACTTAAGACCAATTAACGAAATTAAATATTACAATGATAAGTAGATCTGTACAAAACTTGACTTTATAGACTTTCAAACTTTTTAACAACAAACGATGATTTCAATTTATTGGTCATTATTTACAACTTTATTGTAGGCTAATATCAAACCTACCGCGTAAGTTACGTGAGTCAAATGTTGGTAAATTTTGTAACTACTCCAGAAAAATTAGACCGCCGTCTTGTATAGAGAGAGAGAATTTGGTGTATACACTGAATTTTGTGAGCTATGACTCCCTAAAGACTTTAGTGCTAAATTTTTCAAGCAATACTCGCACAGACGAAACATATTTTTTTACAAAATTTTGGAGTCGGATGCATTTTCAGTATAATCCTCGTCATTTTATTTCATACTTTTAGGAACTTATCTCATTTGGCATATAAAGTAGGCATATTTAATTTCGATATTTACAGTCGAAAAATGCATATCTCAGATTGGAACGTTGCTAATGTCTGCTCATGTATTATTCCTCTTAAAAAAAGCAACTGACAGTTTTACTTGAAATTTTCCGTGAATTTTTTATTCTTTTTTTTTTAAAAAAACTTCGAGGCGATATTTCGGTCATTTTTTTTCAAAAGGATTGAGATATGTTCTAAAATTTTTAAACGTTTAATTGGGGGCATAGATTTTTCAACTTAAGCTATCGGTAAAAAAAAATAATAATAAGTGGATACCTAGTACGGATACAAAAAGGGGTAACTTTGGTTGCAATAGGGTAAACTAAAGAGGGCGAGGCGAATGGATGAGAGGTAAAGGGCTTTTGAAATCAAGTTAACGATCACTGATTCTCTATTGATTGTCCATCTATAAAATCAAATGAGACATTCCTCTTTTGCAAAGTTCTGGAATAGTTCAGAGACACCACTGATTGCTCCTGGCAGAGTTTGCAGTTATAAGAAAACTAAGACAGTACATAGTGAGGCAGATGGGTAAAATTGGTTAGTGAAATCGAGAGATCTAACGACATTTGTAGAGAGCATAATTTTCAAATCTTGACGGTAAATCCTCATAGAAAATAAAGTACTTAAGCTAATTTTACAGCACACCCAATAACAATGGCAGAGGAGAGGATTACTTCGGCAGTGATGGGAACACGCCAAGACTGCATTAACTAAAATATATGTGTATTGGCTCAATGGTACTGGTAACTTCAATGGTAACTTATCTATGTGATTTTTTCAGAAAAGGGTAGTTTATCCTGTAAAAAACATATTACCTTCATCAATTGTTTCTGAAAAAATTTGACAATTTATCGTAATGAAAATGTGATACCTAAGAAAAATAACCTTCTGCAGTTATCATACAAATACATTTTCTATTTCCACAAGTTTCTTTCAAATTCTCATGTGAAAATGCATCGCAACTCATTTGACCCTTATACTTACATTTTTGACAGTTTCAAAATTTCCACAGCGAGAGCAATCAATATGATTAATACAACTTGAAATTCGTCTAAACGTTGATCATTTATGCATAATGTCTTTAACGGGTATAATTAATGA